AAATCAAAGATTTGGGTAATAAATTACTGATTAGATCAGCATGAGGTCAGCATCAGATTGGTACAAAGGTTTCACCATAACCACCTAGAAAGGATGTCAGCACCCACCTCAGATTTTTTTAGGTCAGTATTAATTCCAAGGGCTGCACATATAAATACACTTATACATATACAAACCTATGTATGTAAAAATATATGTTCACTTCACCAACCCTTAAACAAATAAATCAATAAAACAAATGAATTTAAAAAATATATATTAAAAACATAAAAATTAGTTCGTAATATTTCTAAATTAATTTGAAAAACTTAATCGACTTTTTATTTAAAATATATTTAATTTGCAGTTAATTTAATGGTTTTGGCTTTTAGACAACGGAAATGTTAGACCAACGTTAATGTAATTAAAAATGAATAGTAATAGGAAAATATAGAAAAATAAACCCATTTGGAATTTCACAGCATACATGGCGCCGTTAGGCTGGCTAACACCCTGGTGTATATATTAGGGCTCTGCAAATCAGCAGTTTTTGTTTCGAATCGACATTTTGAAGTCTAAATTTAAGCATTTTTTTATTTAATAATACATTTTTTTAAATAAAATAAAATTTTTATAATCTCTTTATTGATGCTTCTTGCCCTGGTTAAAAACTATGTACTATGGGTTAAAAGTTGTAAGAGTTAAAGTGATTTCAAGGCAGTTATATAAGTTGTATTTATTTCATAATAAAATATTAGAGAATAAGTATGTAGTATCTAATAACACATCTAAGAACACTTTTACATAAATAGTATTTATATTTAAAATATATTTTATTTAAGAAAAAAAAAATAAGTTAAATAATATGTTGCAACTTTAGTCTGCCATAGGCGGCTTCACTTTTCAGATTGAAGTTAGATATCTAGTTTATATAATATATCATTGGTACAAGTACTATGGGTTAAAAATTCTAAGAGTTAAAGTGATCTTAAGGCAGTTATAAGTTGTGTTTATTTCATAATAAAATATTAGAGAATAAGTTTTTCAAACTTAACTAGGTGAATTTAGCAAGCTGTTAGCAGAAGCATTAGATAAGATTACAGAATTTTAAATTCTTAATTTTTTTTCTCTGTGCAAAGTAAAATTTCTTTTCAGAAGCACTATTCGGTACTCAATTTGATTAATATAAATATAAATGATATAATATAAATATGAATGTTGACTAATAGCAACCTTCTGTGTTTAAATTATCTTTAATTTATTGAGTGTATTATTATTTTTTGTTTTGTATTGTTCATGGTTGCTCACCTTAAGTTACAACAACCGATCCCGCCCCGTTTATTAGATCTGGACTAGAATATCTACTAACCCTTTTTATCTCTCTCTCTCTCTCTCTACCCTCTTTGTACTATAGAGGGAGAGGAATAAAATTAAAATTTTTATATAATTGCATTTTTTTAAGAGCCAACATGACACCTTGACATGACATGAAAGTTTTTTGATAATCTCAGAGACCTATCTGATGTTAAAGAGTCTTAACCAATTCCTCAAAATATTTTTTATTCAAAAATTTTTAAATCCAGTGTTTTATTTTTTATAAAAAAATTATTTATTATTAAAAAAATTTATAAAGTTTAATTATAAAAAGTTTAGCTTGATAGTTTGTGTAGAGTATTTTAACTTGATTGTTGGTATAAACGATAGTACACACCAGGGCTGTCGGAGTTGTGACAATTTTAGCGGAATCAGAGTCACTAAACAAAATCGTAACTCCAACTCCAATAGTAAAACATCTCGGTTTTGCATGTGCATGAACCAAATATTTAACCTTTAAAGAATTTTTTATATATTTAGCAAAAAAAAAAAAAAATTATTATTGCGTAATATTTTTTAAAGAATTCAAATAATTTTTCAAAACTTTTGCTTAGGAGTCAGAGTCGTACTCTTAATATTTCAACAATTGGAGTTTAAGGTTGGTGTTTGTTTGTTTTTTTTTTACGACTCACACCCCTGGTACTTAAACTTAAAGTTTTATAGTATTGACTGGAATATAAACATTTTTTTTTATATAAATAAATAGAAAAAACAAATAATGAAAAATTTTTTTGTTTGTTTTGCCTTGATAAATAAAAGTTCTGCATATCTAGTATGTCATCATCAATGGCATTTTATGCAACGCTGAGTAATCAAAGATGCACATACATACATACATACTAGGGCTCTGCGAAGCTTCGAAATTTTGAATTGAATCGAATCAAAAATATAATTTGAGATACGATTCGAAAATTTTCAAAAATCGAATCCTTTTTTATTTTGTTTTTGTTGTGGGTATTTTAGATATTCTGCGCTTTGGCGCTATCAAAAATGTTACTTATCTTAAATTCCTTTTTAATCAGTCATTAAAAAGGTTAACCAGGGCAAGAAGCATCAATAATAAGATTATACAATTGTTTTATTTTATTTTGAAATATATATTGTTAAATAAAAAATGCTTAAATTTAGACTTCAAAATGTTGGTTCGAAACGTGATTTGAATCGTGAATCAAGACCTGCTTTGATTCAATATTCGATTCGAAACAAAAACTGCCAATTTGCAGGCCCTAATACATACATGCAAAGGGCAAATTAAGCAATCACAAATTGTTATTGGCTTAAGCCATTTAGCTATCATGGGTTTTATGAAAAAATACCACAAAATTGCAAAGAAATGCTTGTCTTTTAAGTTTTCATTTACCTTATTTTTATCCCAATTTCTGGCATATAAGTTGATAATAAATATTTAATCCCAAATTAAAATTTAATCCCAAAATTTGTCATTTAAGTATTTTTATCCCATATTTATGTTACTTAGGTTAACATCTGTCTAGTACAAATAATATTTAAAACTATTATTTGTCTCGTGAAAAACATGGTGATTTTTTTTCCACAAAAAATTTTGCGATCTGGTAAATTTGACTTAATTTGCCCCTTGATAGAGACTATCTTTTTTACAATGCATTACTCTATTTAACTGTAACGAAAAATTAAGTAATACTTAAAAGTATGGAATGCTTAGTATAGAGTTGAAGCTAAGTTTTCTGTAAGTTGAGTCATAAAAAAATGGCTTTAGTGCTCTTAACTGAGATGTTAATACAGTTGATTACTGATAACTTGAACCTACAAGGGACTAAGAATTCCTTGTATGTCGAACTTTAGTTGATACAAGATATTAGTTTGAGTTATGACCTCTTTTTTTTTTCTTTTATTTCATGCTTAAGTATAAACATTTTTAAATATTTTTATAATAAGTTCACGCAGTACACTCATAAGATAATTCAGCAACACAATACTATCTTATTCATAGATAAGTTTTTTCCGGAAATTCACTTAAAACACCTTTAATTTTTCCAGATATTTTTTGATATTAATTTGAAAAAAAATTAATATATTTTTACATACAACAACTTTTGCATTTAAGCAAATATGTTTTCTATAATTTTACGAGATCGATTTTTGTAACAATTTTTTTTATTTATTTTTTTTGTTTTTTAATTCATTTAAACTTTTTCGAATATTAGAAATTCCTTTTTGTGAAAAGTTAAATAATCTAAATTCCGTTTTAAAATAATCTAAATTCCGTTTGTCAGTTAAATGCGATGAATTTTCAATAAAATAATTTCCCGGGATTATCATAGAAAAAAAATTTCCAGGATTTTCAAAGTCAAATACTCATCTATGCTTATTATTTAGAAATAAAATTGTATCTTATGATAAGAAATCTATTAAAACTATCAAATAATTTTTTTTTAACAGTATATTATGATTTTTTTTTTTTTTTTTAACAGTTTTACTTTACATCTGATAATGATCTATTATAATCAGATCTAAATACAACAAAAACATTAGGTTACTGATTTTATGTTTTACATGGAATAGCTTTAAAAAAGTTTAATTGGAAAAGGTGACTAAAGAATAATTCGACAAAGTTATCTTAGGTTTGACTAAACTGCAGAATTTTAATAGTAATGAATTAGACGATTTCAAGGAACCAAATTTAACAGTTCGAGTTTACTGGTGTTTATTTTAACTGGAATTAACAGTATTGCAGTAGTGCAGTTAAATTTAGTAATGATTTTTAATTGCAGTTATTTAAGTAAAAATAGTCCGCTAATACTTTTAACTTATTATTTGATTAAAATAAAATAGTATTTAGAATATTTATCTGAATAAAATATTTTGTTCACTTTTTAATAGTTGATTTGAATCTCAATACAGTTGATTAAAGACTCAACATTGTTGATGTGTTGACCAGACAATGAACAAATAGTACTTCTTGTATTCAAATTTTAATTGCTTTGAATATAATATGAGGAAAAAATTAATAAGCATGAAAAAGAAAAAAAAAATTAATAAGCATACTTTATAATTTAATGCAATTTGACATGCTTTAGGAAAGCAATCGTTGGTCAATTTGTCTAAATGACTGATGGTTGCCCATTTGGCGAGCCACTAATACAATTTCTCCTAATTATAGTTTTGATATACTAATTTGCGTCCCTCGGAATTAAGGTTGGCATTCAGCAATGTCGACCTTAAAGTGTTTGAGGTCAGCAAAAAACTGCAGACCTTGTCTCTATGTTTAGAGACAAGGTCTACCATACCTTGTCGCTATGGTGGGACCTTTGTATCAATTTTTTTTTTTGTGACCTCCAAAAGATTGAGGTCATCAAATTATTGCTAGCCTTATTTTTATTAATTCCTAGGGTTGGATTTGATATCATTTAACATTAACATATATATTTGATAATATTTAACAGTACACTTTTTTTTTTTTTTACTTTTTTTTTTTTTTTTTTAGGTACAGTCCACTAACATACAGTCAACTACAACATCAATTATACTAAATAGAGATAACTTAGCCTTTCATTTATTTTTTTCCAAGTTGCCTATGTGAAGTGTGTTGATAAACTTAACTAAAACATTGCTGCCTGGTATATGTATTTAAGCATATTTTTCATACTAATTTTTTTTGTCTGTTACAGACCCATTATACCAATGGATTTCTTAAGTACTCAGTATTTTAACATGAAGAATGCTGTTATAAAAGCTGAGCGTAGAATATTAATAGTAAGAAAGATTATTTGTTTTGTATTTTTTATTATGATGTATATTTTAACAAGAGTATTTTTAAAATAAATATTTAAACTTTTGTTAGGAGCTTGGGTTTTGTGTCCATATAAAACATCCTCATAAGGTAAATATAATAATTATTTAAAAATTGATTTTTTTTTATATCTAAACTTAATTATTGTTTTAACTTAATTGTCTTTATAGATCATTATAACATATTTACAAATTCTTGATGCAGAAAAAAATGTGGCATTAGCTAGGAGAGCCTGGTAATTTTTATTTTGTCTTCAATGCTTTTTATAGAATATGCCTAGAAAATAAGGACTTTTTGATAAATGTGTTGTTATGTATTTATTTAAGTTTAAATGTAGCTTCAGAGTATTGGCTAAAGTTCTTCTTTTTGATTTGACTAATTTCATAATTGTTATAATTAAATAATAACATTAATCTTAGAAAATAAATTATTTTAAATTTAGGAATTATATGAATGACAGTCTCAGAACTGATGTTTTTGTAAGATATGTTCCTGAAAAAGTTGCTTGCTCTTGCATATTTCTTGCTGCTCGCATTGAAAAAGTATTATATACGTATTCATTTTATTTTTCTTGGATCAAAGATTCTAATTTTTTTTTATTTTTAAGCATTTGAAATTTTGAAATGGAATTTTAAGTGTTTATCTTTATCTAGTCATCTTAAATATTGCTTCTTGTGATTTTTCAAGGCTATCTTTTCCATAATAATCTTTTGTCAAAATCTTCAATTGCAAATTGTTTTTGTATAGAATACTTTTAGATATTATGTTTTAAATCTGGTCTTTGGAGTTAAATTTTCTTTAATTAGATTTTAAAGTTTTACTTTTTTATTAGACTAAACTTGCATGAAATATTCTAAATATTCATTTTGAGATATTAACCTTTCTGATATTAAGAATTTTTCCTTGATATTCTAAATTTTTATAAATCCCTTAAGATTCTTGGTTGAATCCAGTTCTTTATTTCAGCCTAACTGTTTGTGATGACTAGATACTGTGACTTTTTTGTTATTTTTATTATTTTAAATATAAATCTTGTAGTGTTTTTAATTTAAAAAAAGTTCTAAATATTAAAATAAAAAGATTGTTAACGATTCTAAAAACATTTTAAAATACAAAATCTAGTTGTACAATCTAAAGAAAATGAATGTTTGTACTAAATATATAAGGTGTACTAAATATATAAGGTTTTTGTGTGTATTTAATTCCTAAGGTGCACTTTATTATTATTACTATTATTTTTTCTTCTTCAAGGAAAAATAATAAGTTTTGTTACAATAATGCTCCTTAACATTTAGATTGTACATAAAAGTTGATAGCAAAAATTAGTATAAATTAAACTATCAAAAGCAGCATGATGTTTGTTCTTAAAATAGTTAACAGATATGAGCAGTGATGTTACTTTTTTTTCCACAAGTTTTGAACAATGTATCATAAGAGTTATTCTTATTTTTTTATTATTTTATTTTTAAGCAATCATAAGTTCTATTATGATTATTAGTTTTAAACTTATTGCTTTTTTTTTCTGTAGATAAATCTGCCTCTTCGTCCTCCATGGTGGGAGCTTTTTGATATCACAAATGAAGAAATCGAAGAAATCGCTCTCATAATTTTACGTTTATATTCTACTCCAAGAGTATGTCTATTTTTTATTTTTACTTATTTTACCTTATTTAAGTGTTTAAATATGTATAACTAGCAAGTTTAAAGTAAATTTTCTTCAAAACAGTGGAAATAAATTATAATAGTTAAACGATATAAAATTTGATTAAGAAGTCTTTCTTCAATGCATCTGTATTAAACTTTTTTTGTTTGTTGAGTTGCTAGCAAAGCAAATAAAGAGTTTCCCATTATTAATTTAGTTTTTAACAAAAAGTTTAGTTAAATTTAAAAAATTATTTATTAACTTGCCTACTTCCATTTAACTAGTGATATAATTGAATTAATTTAGTAAAAAGCCAAAATAATATGATTCTTAAGTTTTTTTATTGATTAAGGTAAACTCAATACATTAAACAAGTTTCAAGCAATATTTATTATTGAATTTATGTAGCTATTTATAAATTAATATTTAAAATGTTAGGTAAATAATATGTTGTATAAATGTTTTCAAGATCATTTTTAATATTTTTTTCAACTTTGGCAAATATTTTTCTCATTTTGGAACAATAATTATTTCAAAATAAAAGCTAATCAATTAGATTGTTTAGATGTTTTTTACATAATCTTCAAAAAAGTTATAGCATATAAACATGCTATATTATTTGAAACACATTGTTCTCAAAATAATGCATGAAAATTAGAAAAAAATTGGTAGTTTTATATATATATATATATATATATATATATATATATATATATATATATATATATATATATATATATATATTAAAAATATTTAAGTTATTTTTTTTTTTTTTTTTTTTTTTTTTTTCTAAAACTATTTTTTACTAAAACTATTTCTTTAAAGCCAATAAGGACTGCTTAAGAATCAGTTCTAAATAAATTGCTTAAGCAAAACTTTTGGGTGTAGTGCTCGTTAAGAAATTTTTACCATATATTTATTGTCTTGAATATGCCTACATTGATTTGTTGTAGCACAGCTAATAGTTTTAAAATGTTGTTCTCTTCTTTTGAGCTAACCTATAATCTTTTAGCTAAGTGTGTTTTAGTTTTAGGTTTATATGCTTAGCAGGGTTGTTTAGAAAAACGACTTCAACATTTTTGAGCTTGCCATTATCTGAAAAAAATTTCTTTTCAAACCATCCAGCAAAGGCAGTTTTTTTCTAAACTATTGCATGACACCATAGGTTGTATTGTTTGTTCGACCCTGACCAAAAAGCAGATCCTTTTCGGACATCAATCTGGTATTTAAACAAGCTTTCAAATATTTAATTTTAAATAAAATAAAAAATTTTATTATAAAATTATTGTGGCCATAAAATGAAACATAAACAGCCAGGGAAGCATTAAAGGCAATCATCCACAATATTACTCATGAGTATTCAAATTTCTAATAAGAATGCTCAATGTTGTACTCCACTTAATTGTTGTTGTTGTTTTTTTTTTTTGTTTTTCTTTCTCCTTCTTTAAGATACTTGTTACTCTGATGAAAGTTAATTTTTTAAAGCCAAATGTCTTAGCTGCTGTCTTCTTACTTACACATTCATTCACACCTTTCAAAGTGTGAATTTTGTCAAAGCACAAATCATCTACACTTTCTCTGTCAAATTCATAAATGACCAAAGTTGTATTAGTTTATTGCTTTGCAGTAAACTAATATAACTCCAGCTTAAATCTCTTTTTTCCCTAATGTGTCCAAAAGCTCTAAACATGCTGGTTAACCTATGTTCTGTTTTAAGAAAAAATTATAATGAGATGACTTGGGACTTATTGTTTTCAAGTCCAGAGTCCTTGCCACCATTATACCTAAGGACTTCGAGTTCAAAAATTGATTGTTCCTCTAACCTTAAAGTCTTAATTCTTTTCCCAAAAGTAGTTCATGAACTTTTAATATAATTTTAGAGCTCCTGGATACCAAAACCCAAGAATAAGTAGTCTTTTTGTGATTTTCAAATCTGTAGTCTTTTTTGGGACTCTGCACCCCTGGTTAAAAATCAGAAATTAGTTATGCTAAGTAATTTATTTAGACGGCAACAATATTGTACTCATGTTAAATTTTGTTGTTTTGTTTAGTGTTAAGCTAATTTTAAGTTTTAATATTATGCATGTCTTTTAATGCTAGCTACCAATCAATTTATTTCAGTGCCTTGTAATTAAATATTGTTTTTGGTCGTATTTATGAATTCATTTAAAATTAGGGGTGGTAACTGATAAATGATTTATCGGTTTGTTAATTAATAAATTTACAAATGATTAATTAATTTTCCAAATTAAAATAAAAGAAAAATTCACATTTTTAAGAACAAAATTGTACTCATTTTACTTTACTGTAATTATAAATATATATAAAATGTATAAAGAGCCTAGCAAAAAAAGTATAGGCCTATTCTAAATCCTAAAACATTATAGAATTTTGTAATCAGTTTTTAAAATTTAAATTTGGTACAGATTAAGTTAACTTAATCTGTACCAAAGTTTCTAATTTTCTTAAAAAAGAAAAATAGCTCTTAATTTAATACTTTTATTCAATATGCTTATTTTATTAGCTTTTTTTTCAAAGATTTTTCTTTTAAAATGCTTTTTTTACTATTTTATTAAAACCACACAAATGTATGGATCATTAAAGCCTCTTGTATTTTAAATTAACTCTATCCTTGGTTTGTCACTCGTTTTTTATTATTATTATCATTATAATATATATATATATATATATATATATATATATATATATATATATATATATATATATATATATATATATATATATATACATACACGTGCATATACAAATCAATGAAATTAAATTTTATGAAGTCATTGATAAAAAAACATTAAGATAAAATATTGAGTTTTTTAATGCAAAATTATAGCTTAGAGTCATTTTAAAATAATATATTTAATTAAAATATTGGTTTATTTATAGAGTATTAGATTTTTTTTAATTTGTTTTAGAGAAAACTATCGACTCTTCAATCAATTGTAGGTAAAATTAAAAAACTTCATCAAGAAAAAAAGGAGTCGGAGGAAGCTGTTGCGGCGGCCAAACCTGGATCTTTTACACCAGCATACACCCAATCTTCTAATACCGTCAATACTAATAATACTAAACCTGCAAGTAAAAGTAGTAAGTTACTTTCCTCTGTTGCTATTATTATTGGTTATATAGTCAGTTATAAAATAAATGAGGATGTAATTTTTTTCACCATTTATATACATCTATTTCCCATCATCTATATATTATCGTATGATATGGCACTGATTTTTTTACCTTCAATTTCCTTTTATTAAATTTTTTTTTTTTTTAACTTTTTTAAACACTAGATTTTGCCTAGATTTGCCCTCTGTAAATTTTTTTACTTTGAAAAAAAAAATCAGAAAAAGTTTTGACTTTGTTTACTTTGGTAACTATAGGGTCAGTTTACACATGTATTTCAACTAAAATGTGGCTTCCCCTCTCAATTACTTTTGTAAAATATTGTCTTTTCTAGTTTCAACTGATTTTGAAATAGTATCAGTTGATAGCAGTTTTAATATTAAGAACAATTAAAAACGATTAATTGTTTAAATGAAAATATGATAGCTAATTTAGGATCAATAAGTTGAGGAAGCGCTTAAACAAAACTTTTTTATATATTTTCTAACATATAGGTCTAAAACTCTATAGATGTAAATGTAAAAAGTTATTAGTAGATCAAAGATCTTTCAAAAATGTCTTAAAATTGTAGACTGCTGTAAAAAAAAAAATTGACATTCTAATTGATTTTTTCAAGTTAAACATGATAAATAACATTTAAAAAAGTTTTTTTATTTTCATTTTTTTCTTACTTTTTGGGCAAATTTATGTGGTTTTTGGCCCAAAAAAGAAAAAGTTTTTGGAAAAGATATCTCAAAAGGTAAAATATATTAAGTCTTAGTACTTTACAGTTGTCTACCTTCTAAGTAGTGTCCTGAGATTAAAAAATATTTTTTGTAATTTATTTTTTTCCAATTTTGCAATCTTTTTTAGAAAATAAAATATTGTACAACAGAAAAATGCAAAAGACTTTATGGCATGCACATTTACTTTTGTTAGTAATAAATATAATCAACAACATTGTTCTCTTAGACTGTTGTTTAAAACAAGCAAAAAACAGCTATTTAAGTGTTAAAATTTGGTAAAATTTAGTAAAAAATCCCATATTTTAACTTTGCTAGAGGAAGAAAAATTACTCTAATGTAAAGTTTTTTAGGTCTTTATTTTTTTTTTATTCATTTTTTTAGCAGTCTATACCTTAATATCTAAATATAAACTGTTTAATGCAAGTTATATTGTTTTCTTGGTGTAATGTAAGTTTTATTGTGTTCTACACCTGTTCAATTGGATAAACAATATTTATCCAATTGAACCATAAGTGTTAGTCAGTTGAGTAACACATTAGGTTTATCCCAGTTACCTTTCAGGTGACTGGAACATTATTAATGCTTCACTTAAGTCATCTTCAATTATTATCAATATAATTTAATTACTCAACAAATTTTTAAAATCTAGCATTACGTTTTCTGTTGTTTTCTATCAAAACTATACCAGCTTTTTGTAAATATTGTATAGTGTGTGTGTGGTATACATGCGCTCTCACACATACAATTAAAAATAATTATTTATCAAAATATTCGCTTGAAAAAGAAAGCTAATAATATTTTAATGTGTGCATGTATTTAATTTCCTGGTGAATTTTTAAGTTATACGATACTGTTATTATTTTTACTAACGATTTGTCACTAAACAAATAACTCAATTTCTCATTATACGAATTTCCTTAAGTATAGTATTTTAGCTGTCGACTGGCGAATTTTTGTAATAGTCATTGATCTTAATATGTTCATAAATGTTAACAAGTTTAAGGGTGCTACTAGCATCTTTGACATTGTTATTGACATCTAATGCATAAATGTGTAATATCAAAATTTACTTATAATTTCAAAATTAACAAAAAGTATAAAATTACTGTCTCCTCAAGTTCTTGTTACTTAAAACGTACCACCGCTAAATACTTAGTTGATGTCTCACGTCTTATTAATATCTACTTTTAGTTTATTTCTATTTAAAAGTTATTCTCTTTACTGTGTTTTTCATAAACCTATGCATTTAAATGTTAAATAACTATTTGTTTTGTAAATATATACTTATGAATTTAGATTCCCCTGAAAAAGATAGTGAAAAAAAATTAAATTCAGTTATAACCTCCAGAGTTGAACGTTCATTTGACTCTCAGTGAGTATTTTTTTAAAGAATTAAGTATCGCATTACTTATATTTTATTGGACAAAAATAAATTGTGTTTCGTTATTTAGTGAAAGACATCGTGATTCAAATAATCATCAAGATCGACGTCGAAAGAAATCTGACGAAAGTAACGATTCCACTGAATCCGAATCCGACTCAGAATCAGAGTTGCCTTCAAGAAAATACGCTCGTCAACGAAAACAATATGAAAGTAAAAAAAGAAGCTCTGCCAGTTCAGATACTGACTCAGATCATTGTAATAATTCCTTAAAAAATCGAAGAAGTTTAAGTCCTGTCGATCGTAAGCGAGAAAAATTAAATGAATATCGGAAAGAAAGAAACGGACATCATAGAAACGATAATTACATAAAACCTAAAAAACGTAGTCGTAGTCGATCTCCTGTTAAAAGGATGTCTAGCCCGCAGCGTAAATATCACAAGGACACTCGAAACACTGAAGTTTACAGAGATAAATACCTTAAATCTCGGAGGTGATATGTTAAGTTACTTACATCTAAAAAATTGTATATCACTATTACTATACTGAACAGGAGAAAAGAAAGCGATAATTTAAATCTTGCAACTTTACACAAATGGCTAAAACCATCATATGTGTTTGTGTTTTAATTTTTGCTATTTTTTCGTATTTGTTTATACGTATTTATTAAATTTTTATTTTAATATCAAACATCTCATAAGCAACTGCTCTTTGAAAAATATGTATAGCTTTATATTTTCTCATACGCAAATCTCTGTATACTTGTTGTTATACTTGTACATATTTTAGGTAAAAGGGAAATGACGAACTAAAATTATGGACTTGTTTTTTTATCGATTTTTTTTAAGATGCATTTGTAAAAATTCCATTATAACTAAAGTTCTAAAGAGTTTTGTTTTTAAAAAATGAATACATTAATTTACATATTTCCATTCTTGTGAGTACAGTTTTATTTCTTACTCACCGGGAATATTTATTATACCTAAACAAAGTTTTTGCTATTGAAATGTAATAAGCGATAGTGTTCGTTTCAATCATGCGACATAGATGGATTGGTAGAGCGATTGCTTTGTAAACAAAAGTTTAGACTTCGATACCCCGCTAGCATATTTTGAAACCCTACACAGAATAGGCAGAGATATGCGCATTCTGATTCGCTGATTTTGAAGTTTTGGCGTGTATGTTTAAATTGAATCATAAAATCAAATAATAATTTAAAAAGTATGCTTTTTCTTTCAAATTTTGTACAATATAGTACTTATACATTTACAAAACTTTTCAACTTGAAACATCCGTGATTTTCATAATATTTTCTTAAAAATAATAATTTTAAAATAGTTCCAATGGTTTTTATAATTCTGAGACAACAAAAAACAACCATTGTAACAAACTATTAACCAGTTAGTGAATCTTGACTATTCCGTGATTCTCATACGATAGATTTTTATTTTAACAGCTTGTAAATTTACTTAGTAATGTCAAAGAATATAACTTAGTATGATTTTTTTTCACATCAAGTTCCCATTAATCCTACCATTTAGCTAGAAAAATATATTTAAAAAATTCCCAAATTTCTTTTCAGACTAATGCACTTATTACTCCCATATATAAATTATATTTATTAACCCACTGTATACAATACAAGATAAATTATTATAAAATTACATTTTTGAAAAGAAACAGTTTTATCTTGGAATATTTACTTCAAGTATCTATGTAGAACATCTGTGAAGATTTTCCCTTTGCTTCAATGACTTCCAGAAATCAATTACATAGCTTAACCTTTGAAGATCTTGTTTAAGAATTATAATTTTTAACACAAATTTTACTTTTTTTTTTTATTGTTTTGCATTAAGGCCTTTTTCCACAAGACGAAAAATTCGCGCGAAGCAATTTTTTTTGCTAAGGCGAAACACCGTTTCGATTTCCACTCAATGCTATATTATATAACTACTCAGTTAAGGCGATTTACAAAATATTTGAATACTTTTATTTGTAATTAGCATGGTTTTGTCAGCATATTATGCCCAAAAAAGATCTTTAAATGTTGTAATTTTTTTTGCCTAAGGTTTTTATAATATTTAAAGAAACTTTTCTTTTTTTTATATAATTTTCGAAACCTTTTTTACTACCCGTAATAATGTATCTAAAGAACACTATATTATTAATGTATCTAAAGACTCCAATTTCAAAAGATTTCAACTAACTTCATGTTAATGGAGTCTTTAGACTCTATCTAAAGACTCCATTAACATAAAATTAGTTGAAATCTTTTAAAAAAGTTCTTTTATTTACTACTGATCCTAGTTCTAATCAGTTCTGACGTATATTAACTATATACAGTTGTCAAAACAAAAAACTTCTATCAATTTTCACAAAAAAATACAGGAATTCCGACCTAAAAAGAGCTTATAATTATGAAAAATTGCCAATAAACGATCAGAACAGATCATATTACTAAACTATATAAAATTTATTTCACTTAAAAAACGTATTAATATAAAATCTTATTTAAATTTGAACGAGCTATTGTGATTTTAAGATGATTTAAAAAAAAAAAAAAAAGATTCCACGGCCTGGGGTTTTTTGCTACAAACATTTATATTTTATGATACCGCAAAATTTATTATTTTAATTTTTTTCGTCTTTTCATAATTCACAGACGAGACCATTTTACGAAAATATGTCGTAGTCAATAAAATATCATAGAGACGCTATAATATTTTAAAAGTGCCGAGTAGATGTCTTACGTCATTACGAAAAGTGAAGCCCTTTTATAAATGGCGGATTAAACTTGTAAACAAATTTTTTTAACTGTTCTTTTCTTAAATAAAGTAAATATATTTTAAATTTAAACACTATTTACGTAAAAGTGTTAATTGGAAATTATAATACTTGTAAAATAATAATTTATGATTTCTTAATTTATTTTTGATTAAAAAAGGATTAAAGTTTTGAATAGAAAAGTAAAACGTCTTATTATTTTAAAGCATTTTTATGAATTAAAATACTTTTTAATAAACATAGGCTCATAAAAAAACTTTTAAAAGTATTTTATAATTGTTAAAACGGTTTTTTGAATTATCTTTTATTTATTGGGAATTTTTATCGTGCATTTTTAACTTTTATTCTACACTTCGGCTTTTGCGTTTGCCCTTTTTACAAATGGCGGACTATTGTTATAAACAAAAAAAAGCGGCTTCACTTTTTGTCCAATAAAATCCCACAAGTTAGACATCTAGTTATATAATATATCATTGTTTCCACTTACTTTCTTTTGCGTTACTTTTTTTTTGTTGTCAACAATAAAAATGACAGCAATAAGTTTACGCTGTATGTTTAAAAAAAGCAATTTTTTTTTTTTAGCATACTTTCTAATTTGAAGTATGTTGAAATTTCTTTCCATGCATTAATTTTAAAAGTTCTTTTTTTGTATATAAGATGTAATATCATTTTGTAATATAATAATTTAAGTGGAGGGATAGCTTAGCGTCAAATTATTCACATAGAGACATTAAGACACTTTTTAAAATAGTTAACAAAGAATTACATAAAATAAACGAGTGGTTCAGATGTAACAAACTCTCTTTGAATGTCAAAAAGACCAAACTCATTCTATTTCATAAACCAAAATAAAATGAAAATATTCCTCTCAAACTATCTGATCTAAAAATAAATAATACTAATATAAAAAGAGAAACTTTCATAAACTTTCTAGATGTGGTCTTGGATGAAAATTTGTTGTGGAAGCTTCATATAAACACTTTAGAGAGAAAGCTCTCAAGAAATATTTCATTAATGTATAAAGCAAGACTTTTCCTAAGTAAGTAAAACAGTCTCATGTGAACCTCTCTTATGCAAACTTGGAGCGTTGAATATATACAAAATTAACATACATCTTGTTTTACAGTTAATGTACAAAATAAAATATGGACTATCTCCGCCAATATTTCAACCCTATTTTAGAGAAATAAGTCATAAATACCGTAATAGATTTTCATATAACAACTTTGTTATCCCAAAGTTTACATTAAAGTTAAATTCATACTCAATCCAACACCGCGGACCTTATTTGTGGAAATTTTTTCCCCAGATTGTTTTTCGGCATAATTAACGGGAGTAAGACGTGTTTTAAGTAAATAAAAAAGCAATGGAAATCACAATGAAAAACATTGAAATACTAATATCAAATAAGTTAGATGAACATAGGAAAAGTATTTTAAAGGAAACAGAAAAGCTACTCAAGGAACAAGAGAAAACTTTTACTTTAATTGTAAGTGGCAACCTTAAAATCATATCAGATAAACCTAACGTGATGGAGAAAGAAATTTTAGAAAACAAATCAAAAATTAAAAATATAGAAAAGGATCTTAACGACGTTAAAGATAGTCTAAATTTCCAAGAAGAAAAAACTTTAGAAAAACTTAAAAAAATTAAAAAATACTTCGACAATGAAATCAACGTATTGTATACAAGAACAACAGATTTGGAAAATCGATCACGTCGAAATAATCTCAGAATAGATGGACTAGTAGAAAAACCAGGAGAAAGTTGGAGCGAGTGTGAAATTGCAGTGAAAGAAATTTTTAATAAAAATCTTAAAATATCAAGCGAAGCGGTTATTGAAAGAGCCCATCGAATTGACCCAATTAATAATAAAAAACCTAGAACAATAGTATTAAAACTCTTAAATTTCCAGGATAAAAACAAAATCCTGAATGCTGTAAAAAATCTTAAAGGAACTGGTGTGTATATTAACGAGGACTTTTCGCAAGAAACGATTGAACAACGAAGGAAACTTTGGGAAGAGGTAAAACGACTTCGAAGTGAAGGTAAATACGCCATTTTAAAATATAATAAAATATTTAGACGAGATTTTAAATAGTAGCAGTGCGTATTTTTCTTAATTTTTCTTTTTTTTCTTCTTTCAAAGCGCTTTTAATTTCTCATTTTAAGCATAATGAATAACGAAACAATAGATTTTGAAACGCTGCACTTTAATGTCTTCGAAACCGCAAATAATGTTATACTCAACGATTTGAATGACGCAGATGCGCAGATTTTTCGCGGAATAAATTTTGGTTCTCAATATTTTGAAACAAAACTTTTAAAACTGAACTTACAACTTTAAGGAATAATTTCACTGCATTACACAAAAATATAAGAAGCATAAATAACAACATTGATAAGCTTAAGCAATTTCTAACCGAATGCAATTATTTATTCAGTATGATCCCAGTTGACGTTGGAATAACGTTGAAACAACGTCGCAAACCGACCATATGCCACGTTAAAACAACGTTGAAATTTGGTTGAATTGGAAATAAAATCCGACGTCGAAAACTACGACGTTGAAACAACGTCGATGATTACGTCGTTTCAACGTTGATCTAACGTCTTATCGACTACATATCAACCATATTTCAACTTTGAATAGGTGATATATTCGATTGATACGTAGTTGATAAGACGTTAGAACAACGTTGAAACAACGTAAATTCAACGTTGATTTTTGTTTTTTATTTTGGTTAAATCCAATTAACTAAAAAATCTCAACTTTAATTGCAATAAAATAACACAATAAAAAAGCAATAATTTGCGCAGAGGATATTATATTTCACGTAAATTAATCAGATACAACTAAATTGCTTCAACGGACTTTATATACAATGCAAATAAAATAAAATATTTGAAAAAAAAAAGTTTTATTTATCAGTAATATATTTATCAATTTATCAATAATAACTATTATCAATAGTTTCAGAACAACTAGGAAAAAGTATGAATGTTATACATCGGGTGAATCGCCTTTTACGC